AGAATATGGTATGGCAAATAATCTACTTTTCAAATTCGTTTCTCTACATTTTCATTTGATTTTGGCATCCTATGACATTGGTATCGTTTTCCAATATTTTCTTTTTGTAACTCGCTGTATATATTTGCTCACTTTGCAACTGTTTTGTACGATTTATAAAGTATGATATTGTTTGTTGGTCTGTCTCCTTGTCTCTCTCCCATGTATGCATATGTGTTTGTGTGTGTGTTTCTTAGGGTGTCAGTGTGTGTATTTGTCGTTGTGTCTTCACTGCACTGATTACAGTGAACACTTTGAAATTAATATGAACCGAACGAATCTGCCTTGCAGACGGCTTGATCTATGCACACATACAGTTCTTCCATGTCAAGTACGTGGTGCTCTTCGGGATGGGATCAACTCTCGCGAGACTGGACGAGATCTCGCCCCCACCCCAGCCCAAGTGCGTCGCCACAGTCTATCAGTTCACTGACATGTGGAGGTGCGTAGTCTCCAAGTAGATGTCTGGTGTTTAAAAAAATCTTTATACAGTGTTTTACGCTTCTTACGTGTAATAATCATAAGTAAACATCATTTTATCATGTATATATATACGTCGGCTATACCTTATATTTTCCTTGAAGCTTGTTCGTTACTCCTCTTTTTTTTCTGAAAAGCGACATTAGATGACCGGTAAACACCTTATCAAGGGCAAACTGGACCTGTCAATAAAATGACAATAATTAACAAGATCCTGTGAATTCTAATATGTACTTGCGTGGTGTTCAAGAAACATTTGAGCGTGGTTGCCAAACCTGAAAAATAAAAGACAAAACTAGAAAGGCCAATATTTGCTTTGGAGCAAATACAGCGATGGGTTCACCACATTTTACGACATGGCAGGGAAAGAATGAGAAACACAAGGGAAAACAATGATTTACATTGATATAACTATAATATGAAGTAACATACAACTAAAACAACAGTTGGATAGCTATTCCCTACTTTATTGGTTAGGATTTTTAATTGCATAATGCAAACTGTTGATTTTCAAAATAAATAAAAAAACGTTCATGCCCCGCATTCCAATGCTGGAGCAGAAAAGCTTGAAATACCTACCAAAACACTTGAATAAAGACATACTGTCAGTATGGAAATGCTCTGTGCAGGTGTTAAGTTAAATCCCAACAGCCAATCAGCAAGAAGTATAGAGGAAAGCTGCATGCCTATTGGTTGATGCCCTGCATTCCATTGTGATGACTCATGTCCAGACGTGGTAAACTAACACACTAACACAGTAATACATTTGCTATAACACAGCCAAAAAACTCAAATAAAACCATTCTAAAAGCCTGTATCACAAAAATTTAAAAAACGCCTAGGGGTATTTGCCCACTGTACCTCCATACCAAATTTCAGGACCTTAGGCCCTAAAATGAAGAAGCTGAATCCATTTAAACAAGTGCTTCTGCAAAAGCTGACCATTTTCGCCGCTTACAGGCTTACAGTTTTTACGAACATTTTCCCCATCCTAGCATTTCAATTTACCTAAGTTATATAAATGGTTCTAGTTCTCATCAACATTGTATATAATGAGAGAACATGCACTTCTATATTTCAACTCTTTAAGTTTAAAACATTACAAAAATCAAGTATATAACAGTTTATAACCTGTTTTCTCTCTTTTAAGAGTCTTTTTAACAGAATAAAAAAATGAGACACAAAAGTACATTTTAACTTAAATTATAAGTAACGTTAATATATATATATATATATATTTATTCAAAATCTCTTCTATGGCTTTGTCCCCAACATCTAAGTTTACAAACCTCGTGACATTCAACCAGGGCTTTAGCCAGCGCCCGTTTTACCGTCAATTGACGGTATTTTTTCCCGTCGGACGGTAAAAATTTAAGTCCTTACCGTCAACATTGACGGTCAAAAATCGTGGGTGAAGACATTAAACTTAGCAAAAAATGTAGCGAATTTGAATGAGCCACGGCGCGGGGTCTTTCCAAAGCGCGTCGCGTCTTTTCAAAACGCCGCGGGCCCACACATTTCTTATTTAAATACGGCGGGAAACCTGACTTCAAGGAACGTGCCGATGTCTGTTAACTCGGTTCTTTTCTTCAATGTTGCTGTCTGTTTAAACAACATGTGCTAACGGCCACATAAGAACAATGGCTCGACTCAGACTCACGCTGGTAACTGTACATGACAATAAGATAAATAAACAACATGTGGCAACGAACAAAGAAATATCAAACGTTTTGAAAATATACTGTACTTGAATTTTCATACCATCGCAAGAAAACGGAGATCGATCTACGCAAAGTGGCTTTATTATTTATATAAACTTCGTTAAACCACCTTCGAAGACTTGAGCGGCAGCATAAAGATAAATTTTCTGGAGCCGATCGCTGAAGCAAGTTTTTGCCGGCGTACGTAACTCCCTCCGCGGCAAAATCCCATATGCCGTAGCGAAATCGCGTCTCAGCACTTCCCCAAATCAACTCCATGGCCGCTAAAGTCTGCAAATGAGGTTAAACTTCCTCATTTCGGTTGAGAAGCGAAGCTACTAGTATAAAATCATGTGCATGGCGGCCATTTTGTTTGCTACCCGAAGTCTTCCGAATGATCTAAATAAGGAAATCGTCGGAAATCTGAGCCACATCCCTCGCTGTCGGCATGCGCTCGGGGCTGGCTCGGTGGAAATCGGAGGCTGTGGCGTCAGGACTAGGTTTATTTGCATGGCTCGGGAAGCCGCCGCGGCTTGAATCGCAGCGGGATTTTGGGCGCCGGGCGGGTCAAACAAAGGGAATATGAAGTTGTGAGGACCATAGTTTTTTTTTTCATTCTTCAAATTGCAGATTGTGTAATTTTTATCCTGAAATCTTGAAAATCTATCTGCAAATTGCAGACTGAAGACGGGTATTTAGAACACTGAATACATGAAGTGTGCGGGGGGGCAGTGATGTCGATCACCGGATCATGATTTTTTTTCGCGTTGACCCTGATTCAACCCTAAAATAATACTCGAAGAGAACTTCAAAAAGTCATCTTTTACTAATCATATATAATTGTTTACATTATATCATTTGATCAACCTGATCTATTAAAAATTGTCAATGGAAATACCTTGCCAAACAATGCAATACCTATTTAAGTTAATTAAACACTCACTCATTAATTAATTAATTAATTTCCTAAAATACAAAAGACATGTTGGTGAAAGTTAAGCACCCAGGTAATATCAATAGTTCCACGGACAGCTATGTAGGCCGGAGCTTCTATTGCGTGCGATCTACGTTTGGTCAGAAAATACCCCCCCCCCCCAACCACACACACACACAAAAACACCGATCCGGGAACGCCTGAAAAGGAGGCTTTTAATAAGCTTTGCCTGCAGCGCCTTGATTGGTCGGACGTGTGACCCTCTGGACTGCCGGCTAATGGAAATCTGAACATCTAGACTAATCCACACTGCTAATGCTCATTGACATAATTTATGGAGTTTATTAAAATCCTTGATTACTGTGATTATAGACTTGTGTCTATGTGTCTTTATCAACATTTTTGGCAAATAATAAAATCAAGTTATTGTTCAAGACAAATTAAGTTTGTTTTGTCAGCAGCTTTGTTATGCAACATTAATAGAACTATGATTTTGAAATTAGCAACCATAATGGAAAGTATACAAACGTCCAAGGCATAAATGGTAAAAGTGCACTAGCGACATGCGGCAACTCAGCATGTCTGCATGGCCGTCGCAACAACGACATCTAGCGACATGCGGTGACTTAGCATGTCTGCATGGCCGTTGAAGGGTGGAACCGTCGAACCGTCGAACCATCCAATCTCAATCTGGTCTGAGTTACCATTTTCGCGCATGCGAAAATGGTAAAAAATGGCAGGAGAAGAAGAAGAAGAAGAAGAAGAAGGAGAAGGAGGAGAAGAAACATCAGAAAAAGCAATATGGGTTCACCACCACTTCGTGGTGTGGTGAACCCATAAAAAAAAGAAACAGTGACGCAACCAAGTTAGGAGAGTTGGCATGACTTTCTAATTATTATTAAATATTTTCCAGGTCGTTTGATCCTGGTCTTTACAAGTGGCTGGTGCGATACATCTACTGGCCGCTAGGTGGCTCCCGTAGCGGCTTGCTAAGGCAAATTGTAGCATCCGTGGGTAAGAAATGTCCATAAACTTCCCTTTCTGTTCATTCTGTGCTAAAATCAAACAGGTATAAAACAACTGAATATCACATTTCGTGCCGTAAAATATAATTTTTTGACCGCAAATTTTCGCCTGAATGCTAATTGCGAGTAGCATAAAAAGATGAACAGCAATATAACATGACTTATTCTGATGAGGTTCTCGCTATAAAAACTATGTGGGCTTGGATATACTTTTCAAAGAAAGGAAGACAAAGGACGATCTGTAATCTGTGATTGAGAGAAGAGAGTAGAAGTTTTTTGTCTGTCTTATCATCTGCAAAATTTTGATGACTTACGACGGTGCCATTGAACTAAATTTCATTCGATAATTTCATGGTCATATAAGGAACAGTTTGGAAAGAAATTGTACAGGTTTCCATCTTTCGCCATATTTGAAGTTGTATAAAAGTAAAAAAAATATACCGTGTAGAATAGAAATAGTAATAGGGATATCTTTGTAAAAATACTGAGCTATCCATTGTTGAGTTTAACGGCAGTGATTTGGGAATGAGTCTCTAACATCCCTCCCACAGCGACGTTTATGTTTGTGTACTTCTGGCATGGCGGCTCCCACAACCTGTTTATTTGGGCAGCGCTGCAGTTCTTCGGAGTCCTGCTAGAGACCCTCACTAGACGATTTATGAGGCTGCCAGCTATTAGGGCATGGGAGGTGCGTACAATGTGTCTTGATACGTTTCTAATATTTGTTACCTATTCGAAATTGCCTTTTCCAAATCATAAGTCGAAAAACCGTTTAAAAAGTCCTTTTAATCACTCATCAATGTAACGAACTTGAATCCCAGCTGAAGCACCTGAGTGCGTTGTCATCACGGCGCCTGCGCACACTGCTGAACACCTGGCCGTTAGAGGCGCTCGCCATCTCCAACCTGGTGTTCCTCACATCTCCGCAAGTCGGCGCTCATTGCGTGTTCACACTTGGTAAGGCATTGTGTTCATCACAATTAATGAGGCTCTTGTTTTAAAGGCATCCGCTGCAATTTCAGGGCAGTAAAACTAAAACTATTTTGGATGAGGAAATCAGTCTGATACAGATATTTACTGTCATTTCCTAGTACACTTTGTCATTGTTTTATATTAGAAGCGTCTGAAATAGCCCCAAAACAAGTTACGTTAGGCGCCTCCTTATTTCTTGGGTACCGCCCATAAATTAGAACTATAACCACCTACGCTACAAAACAAGCAACCGTTTTCCATCAGCGACATCGCGTTTTTGACAGACACATATCAGTATGCTGTGGGATGGCATTTATTCAACATACTTTATTAGAAAGAACAGAAGATTGACTTTGACAATCTAGTTGTGTCGCCCTGAAATTGCATTGGGTGTTTCTCGGCGGATCTGGGAATGAACTAAGGGTTTTCATATTGGCTCTCGTTCCTGCTGAACGGGTATTCTTAGACTGTGAGTTTTACCACACAGTGGCCTTATATGTCAAGAATGTCTTGAACAGGAGGTATGGTATTGAAATGTGCATGTCTTAGGGATTATTGAACTACATTCATTAATACATGTAGATCTCTTTGAACTTAGCTTTGCAATTTCTCTGAAATTAATGGTCGGGAGCCCAGATCAATAGAATTGAAGTTATATATTGCTCTTTTGCAATGTTTTAAACTACATGACTGATGTTCCTGCAATACCACAGGCAGGCCCTTGGCGGCGCTTCAAACAGCAGCTATTCTCTTCTGCATCGGACAGTGGACTGTGGAGATCGGGAAAAAGGTGCCGCTCATGTGACCAATCAGGAGACTTGTTCCTCTCAACTGTCCAATCAGAAAGGGGTACTGCTCAACTGACCAAGCAGAAAACAGGTGCCACTCACATGTCCAATCAGGAACTTTGTAGGGCATTTGCAGAATCCCTGCTGAACTCTGAGCTTCGTGATTGGTTGCCCCCGCTGAGACAGAACATTTCCGGTAGAAGAACACGTAATGCAAATAGATTTGATGTTCCACTCTGTCGGTCTGCACGTCACAAGAACTCACCAATTCCTTTTTTAGTTGAACTGTTAAACGCCAAGTAATCAATATAGAACTTGCGCTCAGACTTCACTTATCTGTCGTGTCTGCAGTATCTTATACACTGAGTGACCCAGCGGCACAGACGTCTTCTCTTCTGTGTGTTATGATATATTCTAATTTGTAATGTGATGTAATGTATTATACTTGTGAACGAAAGCGCATTTGACTTAAAATATGATTGTCTGTAATATTATTAACGTTTCCCGAATATTGTAATGAGCAACACAATTCAGACTTAAGTATGCGAGTTGTTTAATAAAGACTGAATTGAGTTGAAACAGGTGCCGCTCAACTGTACAAGCAGAACACTGGTGCCGCAAAACTGCACAATCAGGAATCAGGTGCCACTCACCTGTAAAATCAGGAATGAGTGGCACTGCTGATGAGCTGACCAATCAGAAAACAGAGTGATGTAGGAGGAAGTTTACATCACGCTGTGGAGTTCCTGTATGAAAAGTATTAACATTATGTACAGCACATTTAGTGTTATCAAAAACGTAAGCTCGCTCTGTCTGACCCACTCCATGTGTTGTAAAGGTGATATGCATGAGCTCTATGTAAGTTTGATACAAGCTATCACCTCAATATTAGACGTTGTGTATAATTCTGATAGACACTGTATACATGTATATTTCATGATGTGTGAAATTGGTTTGTCTGTGATTCTTTCTATGGGTAGGGCATCGCGAAGTCATTTAGGAGAAGTAATAGTATCATATTTCTACCCATTCATTCACCCTAATTTTTAACCTATCAGACTTTCAAACCGTTCCATCATTCCCCTTTTCTTTTGACTATAGATATTCTTATGATTACTATATTGATTTGATGATGATGTGTCTTCGATATTGTATACTGCACTGTTATGTTTTGCTATTTGGATATTCTGAGGCCTGCTCACAAGCCTGGCACCTGCGCATGATTCCGCCCAGTTCTGTTCGTTTGAAATGTATTCCGCACAGCAGTCACGGCTTCTGCGAAAGTGAGGTAAGCCGTAAACAATGTCATGGGTAAGATCTGGGACAAAGGGGCACTGATGATGTGTGTCATCGTTAGTCATCGTAGGTGCCAGGTACGTGAAGGTTCAGAGAGGGTTGGTGGGCCCTGATGTAAACTGCCTCCTTCACGCCTCTCACAAAGTAATCCTGCTCCGTATATAGAATGCGCACCTTGTCCAATGTAACTGTATGTCCGGGGGACTCGATGTGTATGTGTTGCGACACTTCCGATGTGTTTGAACTAGGGCGCCTGTGTTCCAAAAATCTAGTCTTGAGAGACCGTTCTGTTTCCCCTATGTATGTCTCTGGGCATCAGGGCCTACCAACCCTCTCGGAACCGTGATGGTGGGAGATACCGTCTTCCCGCCACTTTTGATGCACTCCTGACGTCATCACGTTTCCGACTTCCGGAAAGTCAGCGACTGCATCACAAATCTGACGAAGGTTGACGGGATCAGCCGAAAATTTATGGTGAGTTCCCTTTTTGTGTTGGAACAAGTCAAACTCTTTAACGATAAATGGTTTTATTGTCCAAACAGTACCCGTGCAGTCGCAGCCTTTATACGGCTGAATTGATGCGGGGAATCACATAATACAAATCACAACAATCAAATAATACACGACACGCACATTTACTCAACAAATTTTTTGTGGAACTGTCGCAAGGGTCAGTGCGGCTGCCATTAGGCGCCACAAGGTGACCTCAATACGACTTTCCTTCGTCCGCTCCTCACAATCCGCTACTGGCCTGGTGTGTTACGCTGAAGGGCGGTTGTACCGGCTATATACAGAAGCTGGTGTGTTACGCCGAAAAGCGGTTATACCGGCTATATACAGATACAGAAGCTGGTGTGTTACGGTGAAGGGCGGTTATACCGGCTGTACAGATACAGAAACTGGTGTGTTACGCGGAAGCGCGGTTATACCGGCTATACAGATACAGAAGCTGGTGTGTTACGCCGAAAAGCGGTTATAGCGGCTATACAGATACAGAAGCTGGTGTGTTACGCCGAAGGGCAGATACAGAAGCTGCTGTGTTACACCGAAGGGCGGTTATACAGAAGAGGATCGTGGGGGTGCGGATGAAAGCTAAAAGGCTGAGTTTAAGGCTAGCCTAGGAATGTTGTCAGCAGAAAGGACCCTGAAAGGGACCCGAGGAATGTTTGAAGAGTTGAAAGGAGCCAGCTAATAATCTCAAAGAAAGGACATTACTTGCTCTTTGCTTGCTCCAAGTATCTTTCAAGCATATCTCTCGTAACCAGCCGGCAAGACTCTATACATTATCCGATCGGCCCTGTTGACTAGACTGTCTATCAGGAAACAAGGCTCTAGGTGAGAGACCTTCTTTGTGTTGGAACAAAAGTTTTTTTAACTAAAACAAGTCACTACCAACACAGATAAACTTTCATGATGGCATTTTTAAGGCCTTGCTTATACTTTAATAATGTGAACAAACATAACAACACAGTGCAATAGTCGGAATTTGTTTGTTTGTTTATTTATTTAACCAGGAAGTACATGTCGCCAATAATTGGCGGTTTTCAAAGATTCCTGGGGGGATAACCCCAACAAAACTACATGACATATAAATTATAATTATAACAAAAGATTAAATATGAACTAACAAAGGTCAACTAAAAAAAGATAAACTTATCGTGAACAAGACGAAATCATAACTAACTCATCAACAATCAAATTAAATAAGGTAACATAGAAGTAATTATAATCGTTCAGATATCAAATCATAGTGGTTGATAATCAAAAGGTATTATATCAACTTAAAAGTAAATAACTAAAAGTGGAGTTTGCATATCAATGGAAAGAAATATAAATAATCAAATCAAAGAGACATGGAAAGTCAAATAATACAGAAGTAATGGAACAAGTTGACCTTGGTATATCAGTGTCCAGTAGTTATATACATGTATTCTTCTTTGTAGATCTTTTTGAACTGTGTAAGTGTTCCTGCCGATTTTAGGCGAGACGAGAGCGAGTTCCATAACGCTTCCCCAGAGCACGACAAAGCTTTCTTTCTGTGCTCAGATTTGACTTTGGGTAGCTGAAGGCCACCTTGTAACCTGAGTCGAGTATTGTGTGCATGAATTTCAGAAAGCTGTGTAAATAAAGCAGTATGGTGTGGAGGGGTCATACCGTTGAGTGCCTTAAAGACAAGTGTAGCTTTGCTTCTCCTGTGTATGTCAGCTATTGGAACCAATCCTAGAGTGCGTAAGACATTTGAGGTAGGTGTATAGCGGATCACATCCCATGACCACACGACCAGCTCTAGTTTGTAGTTTCTGAATTTTTTCCAAGTCACTTTTACCCCCCTGGTCCCAAACTGTGCTGCAATATTGTACATGTGGCAGGAAGAGTGTCGTGTAGAGTGTGAGAGGCGCCTGTGTATTCAAATATGGTTTGAGACACTTGATGATACCAATAATTTGCGCTTTTCTTGTGTATATGCTCACAGTGATCATGCCAGTTTAACATGCTGTCAATAACGACCCCGAGATACTTGAATGTGTGAACTTGCTCAAGTGTAGTGCCTGCTAAGGTAAGTTGTAGATTAGTGTTATTGCAGTTTGCTCTTGGCGATCTTACTAACATTGTTTTGCATTTGGTTGGATTTAGCGACAGTTTATTTGCGGAAAACCATTGAGCGAGCCTGGTAGAGTCGCCCTGTAGTGTCTGCTGGACTGTGTGGATGCTACGTGCTGCCAAGTATATAATCGTATCGTCGGCATACATGACTATTTTGCAGAACTGGATTGAGTTTGGGAGGTCATTTATGTATCTGATGAATAAAAGAGGACCAAGGATGGATCCTTGTGGGACTCCACAAGTGACACTGGTTGCTGAGGATAACACGGAGTTTATACACGTGTAATGTGTCCTTCCGGTTAGGTATGACTCAAATCAATTTGGTAAAATGTACAATGTTAAAAGATGTGCAATCACTCAAGATTATACAAAAAAAATCACCAACTTACCATCATTAGCTAAAACTACACAGTGTTGTATAATGTATATCTACACACACATACATAACAGCGTTACCAGTTTAACAAAGGCATTCATATACATCAATTAACTGTACTCAACATTATCAGACAAGCTTAATGCAATATCATGCCTGAATGCTACTTTTAAGTACAAGTGATATGAAAAGATATGGTGGTAAACATACAAATTTAAAATGACCATAGTGGTAATAAAACTTACTATCTGATACAGTTAGTTTAAAACTACATATAGCTGTAAAGTAGATTTAACACAAAAATATATAATTTTCTTGAATAACAACACAAAATATGCAATCCAAAACAATAACAGTCTAGTCACTCTGGTGACACGGTAAGATTTATCTACAAGTGATATGAAAAGATATCGTAGTAAACAAATACATTCAAAATTACCATAGTGAACAAAAAATTCTAAAACTTATTATCTGTTACAGTTAGTTCAAAACTACATATTGGTGTACAGTAGACTTATCACAAAAGAGATACAATTTTCTTGAATAACAACACAAAATATGTACTCCAAAACAATAACAGTCTGATGACACGGTAAACTTGATCTACAGGGGCAAAAGGGGAATGGCATCCCCATCTTCAAACCATTGGTCGTCTGGATCTGGGAATAGAATGCCATCTTGCAGTTCCGGAATGTTCCGCATGGGAGCATGGACCTGCACTTCCACAATGTCCCTTACTGGACGTTGTTCTTGCTGTTCCGGAATGTTCCGTACCGGCTCTTCCGGAATGTTCCGTACCGGCTCTTCCAGAATGTTCCGTTCCGGAGCGTTCTGTTCCGGACCCTGTACCTGCTGCTGAGGCTCTGGGTCCCGGGGTAGAGGATCGCCCAGAGCGTCTCGCAGCCGCCTCCAGAACAGCGGCCTTTTCCGCACGTCGTGTGGCCACATCAGGTACGTGTCCCTCTTCACTACGGCGTTCAGATGGCGGAACTGTTTCAGCATTTCGTTAGGAATCCTCTCCAGAAACACCAGGATGAGACGCCTCCCTCCCCCCTTCTCAAACATGTGGTACTGGGCCAGCTGGAACTCGTACTCACACCACTTACTCTTCAGAAAGTTCCTGGTGATGAGGCAGACGGTTCTCCGGCTGTTTTCCACGGCATCCGCGATGTTTTCCACAATGGGAGCGCCCACTGCAAAGTCCCTTTCGTGTATGACCAGACTGTAGTCAGGTTCCAGATTCCCTATCGCTTGATGTATAACCCAGCCGACGTCCCGGTTGTTGTATGCAAGAAAAGCATCGTGCGTGTATCTGTGCGGCTCTTGGTTCTTTACTTCGCCAATCTTCGGTCTCCTCCACTTGTCCAACATCCACAGGTAGTACTGAACACGGCCGACGTGGTAGTCGACCAGGAAAATGGTCGTCATGGCGACGAAGATGCCCGAAGAGGCGAGCACACAAGCCAGGAGGCGGTTGGGCCGGAATCCATGATTACAGACCATATCGAAGAACTTTCGTTCCGATGGATCCTGTCTGTCCTTAGATTGTTGTTTCTGCGTCAGCCCGTCTTTTAAACGTCTTCCACGCAATCCAGCTGGACGGGAACATGTGTACCCTCGGCCGAAGTCAGGATAGGGGTTGTGCCAGTTCGCTACCCTGTCGTATTTATCCTGGGCCAATTCAACAAACCACATTGAATTACAGTCACACAGAAACGGGTTGTCTGCAATGTCGACAGTCTCTAACCAGGAGACAACAGGACTCAGTGTTGTTTGATTTAAAACAGTCAACCTGTTGCTCCTCAGATTTAGGTGTCTCAGCCCGTACAAATACCGAAAGGCGTCGACGTCCCCAATCACTGCTATCCTGTTGGCTTCCAGGTTTAGATGTATAAGGTTTCCTAAACCTTTAAATGTTGACTTAGTTATATTCTTTATCTTATTGTTGCTACTGAGATCCAGGAACTGTAGCCGCCATAGTCCACGGAAGGCGGATGGCATGACGGTGTTGATCTCGTTATGACTCAGATCCAAATGTTCCAGTTGGTCCGACCATGTCAGTTGTCCTGTTTCGATACGCTGGATTTGGTTGTGAGAAAGAGTCAGTGTCTTCAAGCTTCTCATTATTCCTTCTGGTATTCCTTGTATTTCTGTTATACCGTTGTTATCCAGCTTGAGTGTATCTATGCCTGGTCGCCCACAATTCCAAAAATTACCATGTTCGAAAAAACTATCGAGTTTATTGTTAGAAAGGTCGAGATACCGTAAACTTGCATTGCAGAGTGGATAGACGAATGATGCCAGATTGTTGTGTTGCAAATCAAGCACAGTGATATTCCGAGGGAGACAATCGACGCCGGTAACTAGTTCAATTTCATTATGACTCATATTCAAATGATTCAGGCTTTTTATACCACTGAAGTTAAATGATATGGGGATGTAACATGCTTGACCCATATCTAGATTGTTGTTGTGTAACTTATTTTGACTGAGATCAAGATAGTCCAAGGTCTCTGGAAGCTGAGCTCGGGAGGTTTCCAAGTAGTTGTGGCTCAAATCTAGATGAGTGAGCGAGAACAGTCCTTCAAATACATATTGTGGCAAAGTAGAAATTTGGATACTTGTCAAGTTCAGATGAGTGAGTGAGGGCAGTCCGCTGAACGCCTTGTCGTGCAAAGTCCCCGTACCCGTCGCGGAGAAGCCGTGCGTCAGATCTAGCCTTTGCAAATGTAACAAACCCGCAAAGGCGTTAGCTTCTATGGCGACCAATAAAAAACCGACGTTAAAAATCAAAGTTTTCAGAATTTCCAGGCCTTTTATTCCCGCAAGAGTGTCAAATGTTAATTCCGACGTTTCCAGACTGACTAATGTCAACTCCCGAATCTGCGTGTGTTGGAGTTCAGGCAGAACGTCAATAATGTCCGAATACAAATGAACGTAGAGATCCAGCGTCTGCAGATGTGTGAGTGACTTCAGCAGGCCGGGAGCTATCTGAACGCCAGCGCGTAAATGTTTCAGAGTCGGTAATAACGGCCGGAACATTTGAGCATTGAGGGAAATTGGAAATATTTTTATACTCTCTAATCCAGACATATTTGTAAATACAGGTCCAAAGTAGAAGTCACTGGCTCTTGGTACTAGATTGATGTTGAGACTCAATGTTTTAAGGTTGTGCAGCGGTGCCCACAGCAGGCGTCGTTGTAAGAACCCACCTCCGCTGTGGACTCGTCTCGTGGTGGTATTTAGGTCCTCTTCTATGTCATCGATGAGTTCCGATATCTCTAGACTTTCCAATGAAGTCAAAGGATCAAAAATATGATCGGGTAAATTGCTGATATTTTTCACGCCGAGTACCAAAGTCCTGAGTTTAGATAACCCCGTGAACACTCCCTCACTGGCGACTGTATCGGTGTAAGTCCTCACGGTCAGATAGTTAAGGTTTCGCAGATCTTGGAATATTCCTTTATGAAGAGGATACGTTTGTGCATTTCTTAAATACGAATAACCAATATCTAGAACTTGTAATTTTTCTAACCTTGCAAACGTACCAACCTCGATAGTCTCTATAGGATTACCAGACAGGTCTAAGGATCTCAGGTTTCTTAACCCACTAAACGAGAAGTTATACAGTATAGTTATGTTGTTCTTACTGAGATCCACCGTGATGACAGACTCGGGGATGCCGGGGGGTACTTGGGTTAGAGGCGCACGGGTTGGAGAATTCAGTCCATCCCTTTTACACACGACAGTTGTTGAGTTCCAGGTCTGACACACCGGTGGGGAGAGTTGTCCTCTAACCCGTCCATGTTGGGCGATGAACACGGAAACCACAGCCAAGCAGACGGCGAGAGGAGCGGGTTTAGACTCCATGTCGGTCTGGTGGCGTTTTTCTCAGGTTCGTCTCGTTGCGCGGACCGGTGGAGAGTACGATATGAACACCTGAAGTGTATGGTAAATAAGGGGAGGGGGGGGGGCTTAAATTGACATAATGCATGCGGCGTACATATGCATGTGTATGTCCATTTAGCAAGAAATTGAAATTATTCTGAACGTACAACTTCAGTTTGTATGTAAACAAAATACCACTCCAGTTTCCTCAAAGAAAAGTGTCACGGTCATTGGGAGTAGTCAGTGAACAGGAACAGTCCAGGGAGGAAAAAGTGTAGGCAACGGAAAATATGTGGATAATAACGGATAATGGACTGACAGGGCACTAAGAGAAACGTTAAAAGAACAGAAAACCGAGAAGGGTGTAGAAAACAAGTTGTCAGACTGTCTGTGGTGCCCTATGCGACCATGTAACGTAGTTCTGAAAGGGGCCCCCGGAAGGGTTGTGCTTACAACGCCAACGCATATGACAAGGTGTTTCCTTCTAATAGCCAGAAGTTTATACTTGGCTGTTTTCTGGCAGAGTGATTCGGTTTTCTGGACTACTGTACTAAAATGACAGAATGTATAATTATTTTTATATTAATTGTCTAAATCTGGTCAGTTTGTGACCTTTATTTGTAGAGTACAGAGTGAGACGGTACGGCCTTGTTAATACACGGTCCGGTGCACCCCCCCCCTTTACCCGCCCCACTATACATAGACGCCTTCAATAACTTTTACAAGGACTAAACGAGTTCTATAAAGTAGTTTTTTTACCCACCTTGATTACAAGATGTTTGTGAGAAGATCTGTGGGGGAGGGATAGCGATTAGGGTCTGTCGTCTGAACCACCCGTTTGTCTGCGGCCTGCTCACAAGCCTGGCCGTCTGCAGCGGCGTTGGGGGAGGAGTGTGCG